ATCCTTCCTAAATAGTATAAAAAGAGCTATGGATTCTCTCACTTGCGATTTCAAGCTATGGAGGCAAACACAGGTCACTCAAATTAAACTCTAGCAGCTTTCAGTGTTGATACCCTGTAGTAACTCCTAAGTCTTGTAGTATCTTTAAATTACTAGTGATTTGATGATTATTTTCTTTTAGTGAGTTACACTGAATGTGTATTCACTTTTGTGACTGCCGAGTGTGTCCTTCCAAGACAGTTGTTATCACATCCTACCACAATATAAGTGTTCCAAGGGGTTCAATCGTGTGCACTTTAAGAACTGAAATTCATGAACAATGTTCCTACTTACTCCTCCAGCCAATGTCCCATTGTTGGTCTTGAATATTATTGCAAACAAGCACACAATGAGGAGGGACAACGCTGCAATCACCGAGTTGAAAATATCCTGAAACAGCCAGTGGAAGCAAAACATTTGTTGTGAAATACAGGAGGATGTGGATAGCTCCCAACACCTTATGGATCGCTAAACACGGCTGGTTGCCATGAGCATGGAATTACAGCACTACCCGTGTGAGACCGACACTGACACCCTGTGGTTTGCTGGTAAAAGAGCATTTATGAGAAAACTTCCTCTTTTTACCATTTTCTTGCTGTTTTAGCCGAATTTATGCCACTTGGCTACACCTGACAGACTGAAACAGCAAATACATGTACAAAAGGGACACAAGAGAAGAACTCAGTATTTGAGTGTAGCTGTATGTTCAATCCGTGATGTGAAGGGTGTAGAGCACAGTGTTACAGAAAGAAGCAAATAATACCTGTTATGGGAGGGGTTGTTACTGGATCTAGCCAGCAATCCAGGAACTGATGGAACAGAACACTCTGTTATGTAAAACTGCTTCAACAATCATGAAACACTGGGGTTTGCTTTAATTGTGTAGAAACAACCACTGAGCTGACTAACAATGTCCCCTGTGACGGGCGATCCCTCCATTTCACAGGTCAGCCAGGGCATCAGTACCCACAGTCAGGGCAGAGAGTATCCACAGCCAGGGCACTGGTACCCTCAGCTGGGGCACCAGTACTCACAGCCAGGGCACTGGTACCATCAGCTGGGGCACCCGTACT